AAGCGTAGCGGCAGTAACTTTTAATGCATTTAACTATATTACTACCAGCTACATAACAAGGTTTTATCTGCCCGAGCTTTAAAGCACAGCGAATTTTTACGGTTTAGAGCTTTTAAAAGTGCACATACATCTTCCCTTGAAGGAATCACGTACTTGCAATACACAGTGTAACAGCTTCTCGAAACACTTTAACGTTAATTAGCATCACTGAGCGCGATAACGACTATGCCTTGACGTTCACAATTAGAGAGGGTTGTTTAGGGACCCCAGGCAAACTTACGGTGTCCATGTCAGTAGGGAAATGGAAGCTCAACAGTTTAGCTTTTTCCAATACCAGTAATAAATATACGGAAAATGGGGCAATTACATAATGTGTCTTTATCATAAAGCCGCACGAATGTAATAACTTATAAGTTAATGCCTTAGCTGTGGCGGTTCTTTTACGTTGATATTAATAGTACGGTGTTTGATTGATATTGGTGTTCGGGTATCGTGTAACATTTTGATGAGGGTATTATATTAAACGACCTGCACGTTGCGGAAAGATGGTAGATTACCTGATATTTATTTCTATACGTTTCCGTTTATTTAAATTTGTTTCAAATTACGTTTTGATCAAATGGCGATGATTAAAAATTCAGAACCGAACCAGCGTGATCTCAAAAAGAATCTAAGGCTTCGACTTAAATTTAGGCTAACATTCGAATTTTGGCAAGCACCCCTTTAGATTGGCAAATTGAAGCACCACAGATCGTCAGTTTTTCGAATGCTTCTGTTCAAAATGATCCATAAATGGAGGAATGAAAATATCCAGCGCTTACCTTGAAAAATGAAGAATTGAACACGTTAAAAATGCTGCAATAAACGACAGATAAAAGAGATATAAAATCTCTAAAGTCTCTAAATCATGCTGTAATCTTATATAGAATTTCCAAAAAATGTGGAAATAGAATCCGCATTTTCAAGTCGGTCGCCGAACTTGGTTGATAACGTTCAAATTTAATGTCTCGGCTTCGGGTTCACATAAACATCCAAGTCCATTTCTATAACTCATGCCTATTAAGCGCGCTTCATTTGACACCACACACAATCTAATCAGACGTGATTTTCTGCAACACATCTGACTAGCTACCGGTATTTATGCATACCCAAATGGCCGGGGGGTCAGTAGGCGCCATCGTTAATTCCAATTTTTGGGTCAAGCGTCAGGTTATTTTATCAGATTTATCCTACGACTTGGCCGGTTTCCGTCCGGGTTTTAAATTACCGTTGAGCAACTAAAATCGGTCAATCATTAATTAACGGAGCTGAAATCGTACAATATTAATTTTCGCTCCTCTTCCAATTGAAGGAGCTTTCAGATGCTGCAAAGATAATTAAAATATCTCTACGGGAACTGCTACAAACGGCAAATTAGGTACAGTATTTTGATCTCCTTATCGGGAACTAAAACGATGCTACAATACTTTTAGTTTCTATTTCCAACTCCTAGAAAATCAATAAATAAGCCCGGTACTACAATTTCCTGTAAAGAAGCGCCCGGTTGAGTTCATTGAACTACCGGGTGTTCATTAAAGCTTCCATCAATGTACTGTGTGTTCATTAATTCTGATATAATTCCTGTAAACGGGTGTTTCGTTACAAAACAATCTCGCTGTAGAGGCTTTTTAAGGCTCTGAAATTATTTGTCATTCTTACAGAGCCTTTAAAACTTTCAAAGGTTCCCGAAATCTCTTAAAGGCTTTTAGAGTCTAAGTATGACTCATAAAAACTGTCAAAAACTTTTAGATGCCCTTAATGATTTAAAAAGCCCCACGAGACTCCATTAAAGCTTGAAAAGTTTCTTGGAGAATTTTGAAAACTTTTGACGACTCCTAATAATAAATACATTTGGAGACTCCACCTTCAATCTACTTCTAAAAGGCTAAACATACCAGTGACTTCAAAGCGGAAAAGTTCACTCAAATTCTGAAGATAGTTTACCGCAACACCAGATGCGTTAACTACACCCCTGAAAACGAGTACTCGAAGAACTCACAAAGACTGGGCTAAGTTGGCCCCCTCCCCCCAGAATCGGTTTACGAGAAAATCACAAATGACGCTAATATCTACCATAGTTTTGTGCTAATTTGTCCGCCAATACTCAGGTTTTGGGCGCCTTTCGTTTCGGAAAAACTTAACAGGGCATCCTGGTAGAGGAGACAATAGCAAAGAAAAAATGATGGAAGGCAGGAGGTGAAGGAATACGAGAGGAAGAAGGATGGGAAAAAGATTAAGAACTTGTGAAAAGCTCGTAAAAGTGGAAGAAGAAAGAAGGGAAAGGAAAATGATAAAGAAAGATTATAACTATTAATTCTAGAATATTATTACGACTATCTAATAAATAATATAAAGCGAATAAAACAAGGTGGAACAAGGAACAGAGCGAGAAAAGACGGAGGAATAGCTGAAAGTAAAGTTGCAAGTACAAACTACGCGTTAGAACACGTTAGAGAAAAATAGTCGCGGAATTAACATAGCAAAAGAAGGGGGAAATTATAAGTAGTAAGTTAAAGTTGAGTGGGATATATATAGATGACGAGTTCACTTTCGGCAAAAAAGGTACATAGGAAGATCAGATATAGGGGGGAAAGAGAAAGGAGAAGGGGGAAAGGGTAAAATAGGGACATAGAAATTAGACGACATGAATAACAACAGCTTTTGGAATGTGACGCCTTTGATGGTGGTGAATTGAATTACAGATTTCGATTGTCGATCCTTCTGGTCAGTACAATTTTTGGGTTGGCAAAAAAACGAGCACTAGCATAAACTCGCTTTTAAAAGTTCGTTTTTGAAATATTAGGTTTAATTCCCTTTAGTGATTTTTCACTCTAATGACTTTCAAATTAGCGGCACAAAAATGAACGTAAATATTATCTGACTTTGCTAACCGTTTTCTTGATCGCAATTTCGTTTTACACGGGATATTAGAGTTTCTAACCTGTAACAAAAAGTTTGTGGAATTTGCTGAATAGCAGCTCGTTTATGAATAGGGATAGTCTCTTTGTCAAACTGAAGTACGATTGCGAACTTTTAACCTTCTACGCGTTAATGTGAAAATATTCCTTGACGTAATTCCGTATCATGTTAATTCTTACCGAGATGGCACTTTTGTGGCAAACTAATGTGCGCGGTAACTACACATAAATTCTGCTAAGGGCAGCGAAAACTAACCACTTTTTCTAAATGGGAACTCCACTTTCTCACCCAACTTTTCTACTGGAGCTAAATGATACATTTCCAGGACTACTGGATATTGGGGACACTAAACGTCACTTTGAACTATTAACTTTGTCTTCTGAGCTCAGTTATTTCGGATGTTAATTTTAATTACTTAGGTTCTAAAACTCGCTTTACCAAAAAATACCCGTACTAACCGAATACCGGCGAATCTTCCTGATTGGCGACTCAAACAAGAATCCATCGCTCTAACTGGCTTTACTGCCGTTAATCGAATCTTTTCCCTTGACTGGCCAAAAGCGATTCTCCCTGGCTGGCGACTTAAATCAGAATGAATAGTTTCGTGCAAAGTTCATTCTCTCTTTCTATGCTAAGCTGATTTAAACGCGTATTTCATGATGGGAAGCAATGGCGGCGATAGTTAGTTAATTTTCATTGGTTTGTCGACTCTAAGGCTGTCCACAGAAGATCCAACAGAATGTTACTAACGAAAGCTGCTTAATTCGCAGTGTAAGAAATGAAACATTATATTACCTATTTTTATCGTGTAAAACGAAACAAATTTCCATCCATGGGGCGCCAAAAGCGATTTAAAACAAAGACGTGACTGATAGCTGTTTACCCGGGCGAACCTTATTAAAGAAAGAGAAAAAAAATGTAAAAACACTGGTCGACGTTACTCCAAATACGCGCCAATTTTTTTCCTGAACGTGAATCTTGTACAATTCTTGGACGAGCGAGTTTCCCGGCGGGGCAATTTTTTGGGAGCGAATATTCTGCGACCTGTGTACTCCGGGGTGACCCTTACGAAAGCCGAACTTTTGGAGGAAAACTTTCCAGAACCGAACATGCCGGGTCAGATTTTTTTAAGAACGGGTTTTCGGAAGCGAAATGTTCTCACATAAATTCCAAATTTTTTTGGAGGGAAAGATGTTTCCAAAGGGGAATATTCCAGTGGAGAATCGAACGGGAGAGAATTTACTTTGTAGGCGCGCTTACTGGTTTGCTACAGAAATTCTCAAAAAAGTGAGTGCATAGCAATTACCCCAAAGAACATCCCCAATCGTGAATTTTCCTTGGGAAAACTTATAGTGTGCGAATGTCCGGGGCGCGAACGCAAATGTTCGGACGATTTTCCGGTGCGAATTCAGTTCCTCATACTAAATGAAAATGTGCAAGCCTGGTGAAAAACTCAATATTTTGAGATACCTAGTTAGCGGAGAGTCAGTGACCTACCCGAATCTATCTTTTGCAGTCTGACTACATTTGAGGGTGTGCTTGTCTTTCTAAATAAACAAAAATATACGGACCCTAACTTCCTACAGATAGATAAATTTATACGGAAATTTGACTTTCTAGTAAAGGAGAGGAAAATTCAGTGTTTCTCGTTTATGATTTTTCTAGATAAAAAGTAGTTTCCCCTTAAATCTTGAAGGAACCATTCCGAAAATAAAAGAGTTTCCATCACTTTCTTTGCAGACACGCAGTAAAAATGTAGTTCAAGTTCAAAGGCAATTCGTCTTTATCTAAAACGAAATGATCCCCAGCAATAATTCAGCGGGCAATGAAAAAGTTTCGTTCTCTCCTCGTGTCTGATAATTCAATTATCCCATGTTGGGGGAAAAATAATAGGAGCGGCCACAAATCACCTTTAGCGATGTTCCTTGCATTCCGTATTACCCGCGCTCATTTATTTTGCTCGCAATGAAAAATTCTGATCGCACCTCTTCCAATAGACGAAGTTGACAATAAAAATATTAACGGCGTAATTACTGTTTCAGCAAATGGAAGAGGCAAGCATCGGGAATAGAAGATGCGCAAGTTTGACGGCTTTATTATGTGGTCGTACGGGACTGTTGGTATTAGTCTCCGGTTATGCTCTTTTGGGAGCTCTCCTCTTCAAAACATTGGAAGGTGGCGACGAGGGAAATCTCCCTTTTCATATACAACGTAGCAGAGAAGATTGCCTAAGAGAACTCTGGTTAATTACAGGTAAGTGCTTTATTATTTATTTTCCTTCGCTTTTTTTTCTGTCTGATTAATATCACTACGTATACGACGATAATGCTTTAATTTGTCTAATGTACCTACCTACATCTAATTCATTCGTGCGAGTAATTCATTTCTCCCGTTTTTTTGACAATTTGTTTCCGGGAACGTTGTTTGAACAACGAGCTACATTATTATGTTAGGTGTAATTAGGGTAATAAAGTTCTTTGTAACGCCACACATTTTTAATGTATAATCTAGCTAAATGTGGCCGAGTCTCTTTTTCTGCGTAGTTTTCACGTGCTAATTTAGTTAAAAGTGACGCTAATCAACGAATTTTACATGATATACCTATAGACGTGTTTTTCTTTAACAATGTGTACATTTTTCCCTTCAATTCTATACAATTATGTATTATATTTATCATCGGCATACTTATTATATACAGGATGGCACAACGAAAACGACTGAATTCAGTTTTGGAAAAAAACGCCGATTTACAAATTTACACCTTTGATCCAGTTAGGAGATTTTCTTAAAATGGAATCTACGTACGGAAAACTGAATCCAAGTCTCCTGACAGGATCCAATGCACGAATGTTATTTGCAATCAAATAAACCCTTTTATTTTATGGCATATTTTAAATTGACATTTTAATAGGTTTGAATGAGTAGGCTAAGACGCTCTTTAACCGTAAGGGTAGATAAAGTGATCATTTTAATCGTAAGGGTAGATAATGTGAAACAATTGATTGTGCATTCTAATGACATCTGTCATTCATATTTCAAATGGGACGCGTAGCACGATATAAAATGACGTCCAGAATATATCATGCTAACACTTTGAAAGTTCGCAAAGTTGGAATCATAATACCTTGAACGAGATGCTCCACTTTAAATTGAAATACACGTTACCTTATTTGTATAACGCCTATGCTATTTACTAGTCGTCCAAATTTGGAAAATCCGAGCACACTATCTGATTTTGGTTCGAGGAGAAAGAATTTTTTTTTGTTAAAGTGTTGAATTTGACACCAAGTGGTCTGAGAGGGTATGTACGATGCTCAATCTCTTTATTAATTTTTAGATTACCACGTTCTCTTCCGATTTAACGCGAGTTGAAATGCGAATTCTTCTCCCACGAACGAATTCGTTTTATGCATCTTGCACAACTAAACATGATGACCATTTTTTCGATGTAACCCGAAACGTTCGTCTTTGATTCGAAGAGGAGCGCCATTCCTACGTACAAAAAATTCACTGAATGGTAGAATGACCGATTTAATAAGTGACTTCCCGCTCCATATCTAAACGAAGAATCTTTCAATTTTAAACTTCGATTCGTGCGGTTGACACTCCCGTGGCCCAAAACCGAATGAATCTACTTTCCTCTTCCCTGACGCATCCCTACCCAATTGTTGATTAAACGACGCCTCAAAATGGCGCTTTGTTAACGAAATCGGCCATACTTAACCATTAGTTCATTTGATTCGTTAAACAGCTACCAATTACGCTAGCTCAGCTAGTACTTACAATCCCGCGTTAGTCCTACGTCAGTACGTTTGGTCACGTAGACCCGATTAAGATAATATAATCTACTCTAAGTGCCGGAGAGACTGGCGCCAAACCATTCCGGAGCTAATTTATAGGTCACGCAGGTCGAAGTCAATGACACAAACTTCGAAAAACCTAGATATACTAAAAATGTTGGACACGGGGTGTCAGTAGATCTTTTCAAGAGGCAACATATCTTATCAGAGCACCTTCAAGACTGTAAACTTTTTCAATATTCAAAAGTCGACGCATCCCTCACGTCGCGGAAAGTTAAGTTTCTGGATTTACACGTAGACTATAAAACAACCTGACACACCCATGGGAATGACATTTGTAAAATTTAATTCAGCTTCATATCTCCTATAGTCTAGCAGCTAGCCCATGTCACGTGTGCAGTTGTACGTCCCCTAAGTTTGGTTGCGGGGATTTGTTAAGCATCTATAGGAGTATTAAAAAACTTGGTGATATAGTCCAAATCATGGTCGTTTAGTCGCTTATTTAAAAATGGCAAGATTAGTTGTTTAAGCATATTATCCTCACACAATGGTTTAATTTTAATTTTTTAAAGAAAGTTTTACTGATTTTTTGAAGGCAAACAAGTTTTGTAATCAGGAATTATTTGGTAAATCCAAGTTTTTAAGATACATTAAGTGTTTTAATAAATGCACTTGGCGAAAGCTTGTTGATTTTATTGTAATTACAATATTGTTATGACTAATTTCATTAACTTACCCAGTAATCTAATTTGTGTCTGTAAGGTTTATGGCGTTATTCAATTCATAAGATGGCCGGTTGACCCCCCAAATGAATCTTCCTTGCGCAATATTGAGAAAATCCTAAATGCGGTGGTTTCTACTCAGAAATATCGGTGTAAAAAGCTCAATCCGGTAGGTAATAATGAGGATAAAAGTAAACCAGAAGTAAGAAGCCTAAAAATATTATTCAAAGTCAAAAGGTGTATGCGTAATTTTTTTTAACATACCGAAAATGGCCTTAGGACGTGTAAAATACGAGTACATCCGCAAATGCGTCATCGAAGTGTCGAAAGCAAAATAAACAACAGAAATAAATCAAAATCCCAAAAAGGCTGACAAAAATTGTCGTGTAACTGTAATGGCGTGTAATCTTCTGCAAGTAATGATCGAATCTCGTCTTTGTAAAAAGAAGTACGTGCGCCGAAAAAAATTAAACAAAACTCTGCACGACCTCCGTCGGCAAAACCAAGTACTATGTGAAAGAAACGTTTACTAAGATAATAACAAATTTACTACAGGAAAATTTACATCTAAACTAGTGGGGAAAATTACACATTAATAGTTCCTATTTGAAAACGAATTAATAATTAATATGACAGCCAGATCTTTACTTAATTCAAGAAGTTATTTTGGTTGCATAAAATTAGGCGTCCTTCAGAAAACTTTATATCATTTGAAAGTAAACATAGGAAATCCCTAGGTCTACTTCTACATGAATATCACTGTATAATGCCTCCTGTCATCACTGACAGATTGACATTAATCAAAAGTTTAACATGAAAATTGCAATTTTATATTAAAATACCATGTCGGGTAAAATTTAATACAAAACTCGTCAGTAAAATGGCATTACTTCACTCTGAAATTATAGTACTCGGCACAAATGGGGCCTCGTACCTCAATGTTCAGTGAAATTAAGTTGCTTTGTTTCCAGAACCACACTTTTTCCTCCGGAGAGGGGAACAGGAAAAGTAAAATCTGCTCTGGCGATAATGTCAAAATTTTGCACCTACTACTCAGTCGAACACTGAACTAATATTTTTTACCCAAAGTCGTCCTGAATCCTTCATTTTCATGCGTACTCTCTGTCAGGAAATTTTAGTTTGCATGACAGAGGCAGAGCAGACGTTTCTTGTTGCTTGTCTCTTTACCGGCCGCTCCTGCGGATACATTACTGGCGAGGAAATTTTGAAGTTCGAGGCTCCTTTGGGGGCGAGTACTTTAATTTCTGAAACAGGTAATGACATTTTACTGACAACTTTTGTATTAAATTTTACCCGAAATCGTCTTTTAATACAAAATTCCAATTTTTGTATATAACTTTTGATTAATGTCAATCTGCCAGTGATGACAGGAGTCTTTGTAGACATTTGGAAATGTCAAAAACGCGGCAAGAAAGTGACAAGCGGCAGGAAACGTAGTCTGCTTTGCCTCTCTCATAAAAACTAAAATTTCCTGACAGAAAGTAGGCATGAAAATGAAGGTTTCAGGACGGTTTTGGGTAAAAATAATGATTGGGCCTATGTTTCCGAGACGTTTTCAAATAATAATAATAATAATAACCATTTATTTACATTCTTGTAACAGAAACCTATAGCCTATGTATAAATGTAAATGTAAAAATTGTCCAAAATGAAAATAACTAAAATATCATTTGTAACGTCCTTAGGTGTAACGACTAAGTTAAAAACTTGTTGTCACTAAACCCCAAGGTGTACGTAGATAACGCTTTTTGAACCGATCACAAGTTGAGAGTGATAAAAAACAAAGAGTTAGGGTAGAGTATCCGTTAATATAAATAAATCTGTGATTCAAGAAATAGGGGCGTTAATTAAAATGAATTTTTTGGGGCTATGCTGATACTTTCTTACAGGGACGGTTTCCAATAGAAATCTTTATTGTGCGATTTTGCCACGATGTAATTTTTCCGGGACGCTTTCAAGTATGGATTCTATTATTATCCCGGAAGGTTCCCTAATAAGAATAATTAATGATCCTGCAATTTTCACCAAACGGTTTCCAAATAAAGATGATAATGAACTTTTTCAAATAACTACTAATGTGCAATATTCTTAAGAAGATAAGCAGATTGTGCAATTTTTTTGAACGGGTATAATTAACGTGAGGTCTTTCGGGACGTCGTGGACTAAGGATAATTAGTATCCTTTTTGTTTTTTTGATTGATTACGTTTAGTCTCTACAATTAATTTGTCAGATCTTGATGTTTTCTTTACATTATTGTGATTATTTTTAAGCCTTGGTCCATCTTGTTATTTTTGGCGACTTCCTAAGTTTTGAAAATTTCAATTCAAACCATCTTTTACGAACGTTTTTGGACTCTCATGTGAATCTTCTTGTATTACCATTTGTTAAAAAAAACTCTCCCGTAAGAATGATTTTTAGGATTTCCGAATTTTTTGAAATTTTGGGATCTTCATAATAACTGTTTTCCTTAGATTACTTTTAGTTATCCCTTGGTATTTTACAAGCTTCTTAATTATTAAAATATCTGATATTGGTTACAACAATAATTCTGAAGGCATTTGTGGGTTAAGGGTGTGTTTAAATAAACCCTTGATTTACCAGGTGAACGAATGAACCCTTATGCTGTTGACCCCAGGATAAGAACAGCATAAGTAATTAAGAACAAAGCTTTGCACGGTTTAAAACTTGATGATTGATACAGCA